AAACATAGACAAACATTGTTCTTTGGTCACATAATGAGAAGAGAGACATTGGAGAACATTGTGACAACTGGAAAGATCAGTGGGAAAAGGGATAGAGGCAGACCAAGAGAGATGATGCTGGATGGACTGAAACGATGGCAAGGAGGGATATCATCAAGAGAGCTGTTCCAGGCAACTAGGGATCGTGATCTGTGGAGACGCATGAGCGCCTAGGCCAGCTGACAGGGCACATGATCATGTTAATGTAGGGAAAATGCGCCCCCTCCCCCTTCACAAAAAATAATTCTAGATTTTTCCACCCTAATCGCGACTGTGATCAACATAATTCCTGCCATCTTTACTTCCAAAGGCATCGTTTTGTACCCATTCTAGGCTGGGTCGACCTGGGCGCTATGGTCAATGTTAACAAACACTGCGTTGATGGCGTAAAGGGTGATATGGATTTGAACGGTATACCATTTGAGTATGATATTAAAACTACAGCGACTTCTACGTTTTTGTACACTGCCCTCTTACCCTAGGGGTCATAGGCGCTGGAAACCGGGAGATCAGATCCCCTGAGCCACTTTTTCCCCAAAATTTTTTTAGGAGTAAGCAGCACAACCAGTAATTTTCTATGGAAATTAAGAGGCGCCCTTTAAACAAAGTCTAGAAATTTTGTTTAAAGATATGTGTTCATCATCATCACCAGGTGCCTTGCCGACTGGTGTGGGCGATCATGCCTCTCCATAATCCACGATCTCCTGCAGCATGTATCAGTTCGTGTGCCGACACACCTCCATGTCATGCAACAAGACTTTCAAGAATCTTCTTTCGTTGTCTTCCTCTATACCTTCTTCCACAGATCTTTCCAGCGGTCACAACATGTTCTATTTTCCCTCTTTCCATAACATGGCTGAAAAATTATGACTGTCTCCTTCTGATGTCTGTGATAAGTTATCTTCGGGCTCCCGCCTTTTTCAAAACCTCTTGGTTGCTCTTTGTGTATGTGTTCATACCTTTTATATTATTTGAAGTATATTATAATATTTGGGGGCCGGACTTTTTTTCTAAAATGACCTCGGCTCCCAGGTCGACCCAGCTTCGAGTGGGTACCAGGTACAGTCCTTGGAAGTAAAGGCGGTCGGCGTGGTGCTGACCACATCACCCACCAAGTGTCGTTTGGTCTATAAAATATAGGTCTAGCCCTATATACCCATACACCTGAAAGGCGAGGAAAAGGGTCCGTTTACTTACGTCACTTATATTATTATATTTTTTTGCAACTGAGCACAATAATTATAATAATATTAATAATAATAATCTGCTGAATGAAAACAAATATATTAATATATTGGAAATAATGTGAAAAGTACCCCAAAAAAATATGTATAAGATAATTTCTTAGAAAATTATTGTTTGGAGGCAATTTACAAATTTTAAATTCAACAACCTGGGTTTTCCATCCTGGCTAGGGGTTTTTCCTGGGTGTGAAATGTCAGTAATTCATATCCGCATACAGAGGCGCAGCAAGGGGAGGGGAGAGGGGTGCGTGCCGCGCCGGGTGTCATCACTGGGGGTGGTGAGGGGGGGGGGGGGGTAAACACACAATGGCAAAAATATGTGTTTTGTTCTCTTCTTCTTTTTTCTTCTTTTTCTTCTTCTTCTTTTTCTTCTCTTCTTCTTCTTCTTCTTCTTCTTTTTCTTCTTCTTCTTCTTCTTCTTCTTCTTCTTCTTCTTCTTCTTCTCTCTTCTTCTTCTTCTTTCTTCTTCTTCTTCTTCTTCTTCTTTTTTTTTTTTTCTTCTTCTTCTTCTTCTTCTTCTTCTTCTTCTTCTTCTTTCTTTCTTCTTCTTCCTTCTTCTTCTTCTTCTTCTTTTTTTTTTCTTCTTCTTCTTCTTCTTCTTTCTTCTTCTTCTTCTTCTTCTTCTTCTTCTTCTTCTTCTTCTTCTTCTTCTTCTTCTTCTTCTTCTTCTTCTTCGCTTCTTCTTCTTCTCCTTCTCCTTCTTCTTCTTCTCTTCTTCTTCTTCTTCTTCTTCTTCTTTCTTCTTCTTCTTCTTCTCTTCTTCTTCTTCTTCTTCTTCTTCTTCTTCTTCTTCTTCTTCTTCTTCTTCTTCTTCTTCTTCTTCTCTTTCTTCTTCTTCTTCTTCTTCTTCTCTTCTTCTTCTTCTTCTTCTTCTTCTTCTTCTCCTTCTTCTTCTTCTTCTTCTTCTTCTTCTTCTTCCTTCTTCTTCTTCTTCTTCTTTCTTCTTCTTCTTCTTCTTCTTCTTCTTCTTCTTCTTCTTCCTCTTCCCTCTTCTTCTTCTTCTTCTTCTTCTTCTTCTTCTTCTTCTTCTTCTTCTTCTTCTTCTTCTTCTTCTTCTTCTTCTTCTTTCTTCTTCTTCTTCTTCTTCTTCTTCTTCTTCTTTCCTCATCCTCTTCTTCTTCTTTCTTCTTCTTCTTTCTTCTTCTTCTTCTTCTTCTTCTTCTTCTTCTTCTTCTTCTTCTGTTCTTCTTCTTCTTCTTCTTCTTCTTCTTCTTCTTCTTCTTCTTCTTCATTTTTTTCTTTTTCTTCTCATCCTCCTCGTACTTCTTTTTTCCTCTTCTCCTTCTCCCCTTCTTCTTTTCCTCCTCTTTCTTCTTCTGCCCTGCCCCCTGAGACTATGACTCATCAGGAGATGATGTGAGGCAAGGTGTCTCAAACATCCACGAAATGGATGCATTATTGATTTCAAAATCAGTATACACCCACATGGGATGCAGTAACCAGTGCCCTTCCACCGAGTGTTAGATCGCAAACGGTTCCTCCCCACAACGCTTAACGTCAAAAATTGAAGCTAATAATGATGGCAGGGATAATGATGACGACGACACGTTTGAGGATGATTATGATGATCAATCAACTAGCCAGATGACCACAGTATGATAATGATGGTGATCAATCAACCAGTCATAATATCATTTACAGATCGTCGCTTTCTTCACGGCGGACCTGAAAGACTCCCTTTCTCTAGAGAGATCTCCAGCCCTACATGCTTTCATAGCCAATTCAGCATCCTGTATCCTTCCTCGTCACGGATCCACCTCTGCCTCGTTTTCTGGAAACTGCACACGCCAATCGCCGTTTTCACAAAATCATCATGGCGCATAACGTGTCAACAATACCTCAGCTTTTCGGGAGAGGGTGCTGTTTATGAGCCAGTTCTCCTTGATCTTCAGGTCAAGCAGAATGTCGACATTTTTCTCCTTCTTGGTTTACAGTATTCTAAGAACCTTTCTGTGATGATGATGATGGTGGTGATGATGATGATGATGATGATGATGATGATGATGATGATGATGATGATGATGATGATGATGATGATAGACATTATAAATGAAATCTCATTTAGGGGTCTTTTAAAATGTTGAACTTATACATTATATGCAATGCCCAACTGATGGCAGAGTTTATGTTCCATTACTATCATTCACGCGAGAACTTGTATTTCATACGTGCACCCCCCCCTCCCCCCCCCCAAATGGAGGTGAGGGCAGTCACTGCTGACAGAGCATGTTGAGAAAGGTGGAGACAGGCATGCTCAATGCAGAGTGGCAAGCATCACTTCAAAGGTCCCGGGTAGTTAGCATCCTTTGGATATTTTTACCAGGTAATGCCGGTGTGTTGGGAAATGAGCAAGCAGATAGACTGGCCGGTTCTGCACCACTTGGTGGTGAACTGATGTATTACAAACTGGATGTTGTGAGGGCCCTTTAGGAGTGAGTGAACAGTGCCGAGGCACAGATAGATCATTACGGTCTGAGGAGAATGGCGCTGCGAGGAGTTACCAGGGGATCTGGCTCAACACTCAGGGGAAAGGCAAGACGGATGTACAATCAGACAGTTACTGGTACCATCGGAATTTTAACTCTTCGCTTGCTGCTGAAGATGAGGACGGAGCGCTTATTCTGGTGTCCCGAGTGCTGTAATATCGATTCTTAATTCAACATTCATTCACATAAAAAAGAGACAGTGCGGCTCTTGTGTAGTACTGAGACGATGAGTACTTGAGTTAACAGTGATCGTCTTCATCGTCATCATCATTCATTACCAATTTCACAGTGAAGTATGGCAATATTAGATACCTAGCAGCTTCTATTCTCAGTCTTGTCTATCACTTTCTGTATTCTGAACATGTCTATATACTGTTTGTCCACTTATATATACGTATATGCACAGACATACAAATATATTTGAACAGACAGACAGACAAACAGTGACTAAGTAGGGCAACACAGGTATTCGAAACGTCCCTGTATTTATTTGTTTCATTATGACCGCATTGGTCAGTATTATCACTATGATAATATCGAAACACCACAGAATTTACTTGTTTTATTGTGACAGAATGGGTCAGTACTCTCATAAATATCGCCATCATAACCTCGAAACATAGCTACAGACAGTTGTTTAATTGTAACAAGAATGTTTCCATCAGCATTATCATCGTGATAACATCAAAACATCGCTATAGTACTTGTGTCTATATAGGTCAGTATTATTACCATGACAACGTCAAGACATTGATGTATATATATTTGTTTCATTCTAACTGCTTAATGTCATAATGTCAGCATTATCATCATTGTGTGTCGTCGATAAACATAGATGGGGGGGGGGGGGGGGGGGGGGGGGGGGGGGGGGTATATATCCTACGTCACCTGAACATCAAAGAGAACTGTATCTTAAACAGCATTGTGTCCTGAAAGCTGAAGTAATTAAGCTATTATGACAATAAGCAGAATGAAACAAACATATATATATATTTAATAACCGACCCCCCCCCTCCCTCCCCCCTCCCCCACAGTAACATTTATTTAAGCAGTGGATCGAAAACTGTCCCTTTCCACAACACTTAACATCGGAAGTGAAAATTGATGATGATAATGATGATGAGTAACATTTATTGTAATCTTTTTTTTTTTTTTTTCAGACAGCCAGTTCAATTTGTGAGTTGTAACAGAGCAACAAAGCTTGTAACACTGCCTGCTGGTGAGGCCAAACATGGCGTACGATATACAGCTCATCGTTCAAGGAAGCATTTATTTGTTGCTCTTTATTCTTAACTTCATTGTGGCCATCCCGATTGGAGTCAATGTGGTAAGCTCATATGCTAGTGCAGGGTTATTCAACTAAATTTACCTAGGGGCCAAAATGTGGTACACGGAGATCGTCACGGACCAAAGACCCGAAACGCAGCATACTTAGATAGTTGCGGATCCTTTACAGGACGTTGCAACCCAACTCTAGCATTTTTTTATGTAATTTTTTTTTTCTAGGTAAATTTACGTCCAGTAGTTGGCCATTCGTCGGCTCTGCGGCTAAGTCGATGCGAACGCTTCGTAATGCCGGGATGCCGGGTTCGATCCCAGCTGCGGGCCATGAGCCTTACGTTAGTTTCGACAGTGGTATCAGGGAGCCGACCGTCCAAAAGCAATGACAAACTACTAGACGTAAATTTGCCTAGAGAAATCACACAAAAGCCAGGGGCTGCTGAGTTTGGTTCTGCAACGTCCTGTAAAGGATACGCAACTAACAGTTGGCCATTGCTTACTGGACGGTCGGCTTCTCGATACCACTGTCGAAACCAATGCAAGGTTCAAGGTCCGCAGCTGGAATCGAACCTGGCACCCCGGCATTACGAAGCGCGTTCGCAACGCCTAAGCCACAGACGCCAACACTCAGTAGAGATTTGATTTGATTTTATTTGATTCAAGAACCGACATCACAGCACTCGGGGCATTTCCATAAGTGCTCCGTCCCCATCTTCAGCAGCCAGCGAAGAGTTTCGATACTAATGGTGCCAGTAGCTTTCTGATTAAACATCCGTCTTGCCTTTCCTCTGAGCCTTGAGCTTCTGACAGTACCTCTCGTCACCCCCAACTGCATCAATCTCACCAGACTGTGGTGATCCATCTGCTCCTCCGAACTGTACACGCTCTCCCACAAGGCACTGACCACGTCTGCCCTATCATGTAGCAGTATTCCACCAAGTTGTGCAGAGCCAGCCAGTCTGTCCGCCTGTTCATTTCCTAAAACACCGGCGTGACCCGATGAAAAAATCCAGACAATACTCCTCACTCGTGTCCTCCGCAGCGAAGCATGCCACTCTGCACGAAGCATACCTGTTCTGATCTTCCTCAGCATGCTTTCTGAATCAGTTACAATCACAATGTGTGTGTGTGTCGTGTTCTCTAGCCAGCGGAAAGCTGCAGTGACCGCCTCCACCTCCATTCTTAAGCTGGATGTTGTGGTATCATATGCTAGGCTCTCCTGCACCAAACGTCGACCATTAACTTTTGCTAAAAAGCTCCAAGCACTTCTTTTGCCTCTTGACACTGAACCGTCTGTGTAAATGATCAAATTCTCTGAGCGAGCATTATCTTGAATTAATTGCTTAATTTCCACCTCTGTGGCACCTGCTGGCCAGTCTCTGCATTCCCGGCTCAGCGTGATTATGACTCTACACAAGTCTGACTGCTCAAGTGGCACTTTGACCCACTCCTCTCCTCGCCTAATGTTCTCAAGGATGCAAGCCAGTCTGATAGTGTCTTCTGCCTGAGCCATCCATGACCTTCCTCTTATCAGCCGCTGACCCTTAACTGCACCCAGAGCTTCATGCAGAGGGTGGTCTGTGTCTGCAGCTACCCTGAGTTATGACTTCGCCTGCATCACCTTGTGCCTACCTGCAACCGTCGGCAAACCAAGGATGTCAGCAGAGAAAGATGATTAATATACAATGATCCAGATTTGGCTCTCGGGCCGCAAGTTTGAACAGCCCTGTGCTAGTTTGTTCTCTGTTTGTTGACCGCTTCCGTACAATGCAACTCATCGTGCGTTCATTGCCTAAAGACATTACACATTTTTTTTTCCATCCCATATTCATTTATTCAGCAGACTGCGTGGTCAAGCCGTTTGCCTCGCGCTCTGTAGGTCGTGGGTTCGTTTCGCTGCGGCACTGTTTATTTCACGAGTACAATTTTAACTGAGATTTCCGTGGATCGTCGTCGGGGCTGTGGAGGTCGTGCTCTGTGTGACACTCTAGGCAGGCAGCTCGCTGAGCTATACTGGATACAACCCGGTGCATTGAAGTCAATCCTAGGGAGTCGCCGTGGCGTAGCGGCTAGACGCTCACGTGCGGATCGGAAGTTCGAGGGTTCGCTCCCTGTGCCATTATGTGTCTCATGGGGGTCGCAGTTTATTTCTCCATTTCCCTACATCAAGTGCAGTCACCGCGATATTATGGGTGGAATCCAGTCGAGCATCTTTGGCCTCTCTCATGAACGTTCACCTTAGGGTTTCTCTTGCACGTCCTAGTAGAGGCAGACCAAGAGAGATGATGCTGGATGGACTGAAACGATGGCATGGGGGATATCATCAAAGAGAGCCCTTCCTGGTAACTGGGGATCGCGATCTGTAGAAACGCATGAGCGCCTTCGCCAGTTGACAGGGCACATGATGATGATGATGAGGGGGATTCGTTTGAGGCCGTATAAATATTATATAAAAATATATATGTATAATAAACAATGTATTTATTGGCACTCTTAGAAAGAAGTAGAAAGATAGAAGGACACACTAGACAACATAAAAATCGACAACTATTTTTGCCTCTAAATGGTGTGTGGGCCTAGCTATGGAAACAAGTTTACTAAGAACATGACCAACTAGGCACTGCTAAAAAAGTGTCTTCATTGGCCATGTCTATAGTACAGCTTTCCCCATGTGGGTTCCAGGGTCCCATTGTGGGAGAAACCACACAAAAAAACATTGCCTCCCCAACAAACATGTCGTAAGAGTCGACTAACTGGGAGTTTCCTTCGAGGTAGGAGTACATCTGCCTGAGAGGCAAGGAACCAACAATCAACATACAGATAAGTCAGATGCGTAAAACGAATGTGCACGCAACACTCAGATTCTGGAAGAAGACTGAAGTCCAGAGGCTGGGGGAATCCCCAAAACTTTCTGTCGGAGTTTACAGCTGGTGAACGCAAAGAAGAAGAAGTAAGAAGAAGTACACCTTGAAATCCACAATTACGGAAGACGAAAAGAATTCGGGAGGCAGCGGGTATATTATATTTCTACCAGAATGAGACCCTCGAACCCACCCTGAGATTTGCGTCACCCAGAGACAGTTGCTGGACAGTTTGACATCATGGCATGGAGGCTCGTTTGTGTCAGAGTTGACTGAAAGCTCACGAGACAGACGGTTGTGGATAGTCATGAGTATCACGCCACACGACACGGACTTGTCCATGTCTTTAGGGCTATGAGGTATATGAGGGCTAGGCCTATATTTTATAGACCAATTGGCAATAGATGGGTGATGTGGTCAGCATCACACCGTCCACCTTTACTTCCCGGGACTTCACCCGGTACCCACTCAAGGCTAGGTGGACCTGGAAGTCGAGGTCATTTTGGGGAGAAAACAAATCAGGCTCCGTCAGGCAGCGAACCCATGACCTTCCGATCCGCATACAAGCGTCTAGCCGCTACGCCACAGCGCCTCCCACTTTAAGAAAAGAGGAATTCATTTCTCAACATTTGTATTTGAAATGTAATCAAGTCATGTTTCATATTTTCTCACGTTTGCAGATTGAACTCGGCAACCAATGTATGCTGTATAGTGACATCAACTGGCTCAATACAACATTCTGTACCATTCAATTGTCCACTAGCAATACCTGTCATTTCCCCATCTATGTTGCCGTGGTTGCCATTTTTTACTCCCTGATTCTGGGTGCTTACTACTTGTATGTCGCCTTCAGGTCCAAGGATGCAAACATCGGGTAAGGCTCTTGTTGTTGTGGGTTTCTTCCAATAAGTAACAGTCGTCTTCAGCTATCGAAAAAAACCGACAGTGAGGGGGCTTTCGGGTGCACAGGAACGGAGATAGTACTGAGAAAGCTGTTTGCAGTGAAGGTGAAAAACTCGACGACGACTACTACAACTACTACAACTACGAATACTGCTACTACAACAACAACTACTACTACTACTGCTACTACTCCTACTCCTCTTCCTACTACTACTACTACTACTACTACTACTACTACTACTACTTCTACTACTACTACTACTATTGCTGCTGCTGCTGCTGCTGTTGCTACTGCTACGAGAGTCGCCGTGGCGGAGCGTCTAGACGCTCGCCGCGGATCAGAGGTCATGGATTCGCTCCCTGGCGGTGAGGGACTTTTTTTTCAGAAATGACCTTGGCTCCCAGGTCGACCAAGCCTAGAGTGGGTATCAGGTGCAGTCTTGGGAAGTAAAGGCGACCAGCGTGATGCTGACCACATCACCCATCATGTGCCGATTGGTCTATAAAATTTAGGTCTAGCCCTATATGCCCTATACGCCTAAAGGCGTGGAAACGGGTCCTTTACTTACTTTACTACTACTACTGTGCTTCTGCTCTTGCTTTGTGTATTTCACGTAAAAAGTGAGTTTTTTAATACTATACTACTTTCAGATGACGTCACAGCACAGTCAAACATTTTAGAGGGTGGTAAGACTGAGTTTACCGGCTTTCTGATGCTTTTAACGACCCCAAAATACATAGAACTGGCCCTAACCCCAACCTGCCTACGTCCCAAGAGAGAGTGCAGCCTAGGTCCCAAGACTGCATGCAGCCTAGGTCCCACGACTGCATGCAACCTATCTACCACCCCCTAAAATATTAGACTGTTCCGTGACCGTGGATTTCCACATGTTTGGGGTAGAATATTAATAATGCACCACTGTGGTCAGGGTTTGATCGTTTATGACTATCAAACTATGTCTGAACAAGGGAACCGTGGGGCAACTAAGAGACCCCCCCAAGAAGTATTTAGATGCTTCCCAATTACACGTCATTCCTATAAAAAAAAAAAGNACTACTATACTACTTTCAGATGGACGTCACAGCCACAGTCAAACATGTTTAGGAGGGTGGTAAGACTGAGTTTACCGGCTTTCTGATGCTTTTAACGACCCCAAAATACATAGAACTGGCCCTAACCCCAACCTGCCTACGTCCCAAGAGAGAGTGCAGCCTAGGTCCCAAGACTGAATGCAGCCTAGGTCCCACGACTGCATGCAACCTATCTACAACCACCTGAAATTTTAGACTGTTCCGTGACCTGTGGATTTCCCTGTTTGGGGTAGAATATTAATAAAGCACCAAAATGTGTCAGGGTTTGATTGTTATGACACATCAGTAGGAGACTCTAACAGACTGACTGACTTTCTACCCCACTAGGACGTCACACAAGCGATAAACACCCGATAACATAAAGTGCCACCATGCAGATAAGGATCGCCGTGGAGAGGTCCCAGAAACCGCGTTCAGACAATTGGCCATATTTATGGCCTGTCTATATTGCGGCCCCTGGCAAAAGCCAGGGTGGGGCTTCAAATAACAAAAAAAGTTCGTCCTAAAAAGGACAAAACTGGGTAGTAATGACTAGACTCTAACAGTGGTCGCGACGAGCTACTGCGAAATATGCCAGGCAGGAAGTTAGGCAATCTATTGTTTAAAATTGTCAGCTATGACACACCCTTTTAAAAACGACCATATTAAACAGCCTTGTTAGATCGACACGGCTCAGACTAAAGAGCTTAATTAAATAACTGATGATCGTGAAAACAAGGAAGCCGTGGAGTGGCAACGTAAGATGACCCCACAAGAAGTATTCAGACTGCTTCCCAGAGCTGTACACGTCATTCCTATAAACAAACAGAGGGGAAACCGTTGAGGCCGTTAAATATTAGAATTAATCAAGTAACAGGAAGTGTATTGGTCGGCAATTATAGAAAGAAGTAGAAAGATAGAAGAACACACTAGGCAACATAAAAATCGAAAGCTATAGTTACCGTGCCTGGAAATGAACCTGTCATCCCCAGACGGCGTCTGCGCCTCGCCATGAATACAAGTGCACTAAGAGCATGGTCAACTAGGCACCCACAAAAAAGGTGTCTTATTGGCCATGTCTATCGCACAACTTGAAATCTCACAACTATGGAATTGCCAACCAATACACATTCTGTTACTTGACTTGATTCATAATACCCAGAGCTGTGCCCGCCCTGCTGTGATATTTAGACTCGGCCGCATCAGGCGGCACCATAAAGGGAAGCGGCATAAGACGCGAAATCAAAATAAAATTTGCACTTTGGATCTGACAGCGCGAAGCCATTAGGGGCGGCATTTCGAAGACTGCCATCATATGGAGAAAATCTACCACACGGGACTGGAGGACTTTTGGTTGGAAAAAGGAATTCTGACCCAGTATTCATGTTTCATTATTATAACGCTTTTTTAGGTAAAAACACAACAAATTCATTTTAAATACAAGTCAACAATAAAATATTTACTTGTTATTATGTGTGTGCCCAAGCTACAAAAATTAGTATCGGAATGGCGGCGTGTTATGACTATACAACCGAAACAAAAAAGTCAAAAAAAAAGTAAAGATCCCTTTTCACGCCTTTAGGCGCATTGGGTATATGGGAAGAATACCCCATATTTTTACAGACCAATCGGCACTTGGTGGGTAATGTGGACAGCATTACGCCTGTCGTCTTTACTTCCCCAGGACAACCATCCTGGTACCCAATTTAGGCAGGGTCGACCTGCAACGCCCCATACCACGATACAAATTCAACGCAGCCAGCAGTAGTTTCGATCGCGGTACGTTGGAATTACGAGTCGGACTCCCAACGCCTAAGCCACGGACGTCGCTACACAACTGAATCTATCTATCTATCTATTGTCTTCTTCACTTTTACCGGGTTGCAGCCCAGTTTAAAATATTTGTTTTGTGCCTCTCGCGTGATTTGAGTGACCGTTTTCTGGATCTTCTGGCCGTATTCAGCTACTCCATCTTTCCTTTTTTTTCTGGGTCTTCCTCTGGCCTTTCTTCCCTATGTTCTACTGTAAAAGGCCTTATAGGCAATCTGACCCGGTTGCATTCTTACTAAATGGCCAAACCACTTCATTCTCTGTCTTTCAATATGTTCCATGCATGCTCTTGTTCCAACTTTGTCTCTAATGCTGACGTTTGTGACTATGTCTCTTCGTGTATTGTTGGTGACTCTTCGGAGACATTGCATTTCACACGTAGTTATTTTTTTTTTAGATATGTACACAACTGAATAGCGCACCGTAAATGGATGCGCCAATGTCATGGTAAGTGCGACACACTGGTTTTTGCCACCCAGCGACCCACATATTTACAATTCTTTCTTCTTCGTGTTCTCAGGCTATAAACTCCAGCGGAAAGTTCTGGTTCTTCGTCCATTTCTGCACTTTGGTCTTGTTTCAGAACTTCAGTTCTGCATGCACATCCGTTTTACAGATCTGTCCGTTTTGTGTGTGTACAAATCTTTTGGTTCCATGCCTCTGAGGCAGATGCACTCCGACTTTGAAGAAAAAAAATTCCTAATTAGTCGAATTCTAATCTTCTTCTGCCTTCTTTCCCACAATGGAGCGTAGGCCCTAAGCCAACTCACGCCTACTCTTTCTAACCTTTGTTATTGCATACAGATGACCCCATGCCTTCCCTGTCTTTTTGAATGCAGTCTCTAAATCCCTTGTCTCTCTCTCTCTCTGTGTGTGTGTGTGTGTGTGTGCGTGTGCGTGTCGGTGTGCGTGTGCGTGTGTGTGTGTGTGTGTGTGGGTGCGTGTGTGTGTGTGTGTGTGTGTGTGTGTGTGTGTGTTTTCTTTTCTTCCTTCTGCCTTTTGGTGTTTTTCCTACATCGTGTGAAGTTTTAACCTTCCAGCTGCCAGTTCTGAAGATTTTCCAAGGTGAAAGAAGGTTCGCGAAGATCCGAACTCCTTTCGGCGTTCTCCACACCGTGTTATCTTTCTTCTGTTAGAAGAATGAGGTATCCAAGCCCAACCCTACTTTTGCCTCTTGCGAAACGCCTGGTGGTAGAATACAGTGTTAGTGTTCTTTGCTTCCCGCGAGGGCCCTGATAAGACACAGGCACGAATTCTATTACATGCTTGTGCCCGGCTCTCTAGCGTAGTTGGCTAAACCGGTTTGCGCGGTGACCGGGTGACGAACTCCTTGTGGTCCGGGTTCAATCCCGGGGGTAGGCAGAAAAGCCACATTATGGCAGATTTACGGTATTTACAATGGAATCAAGGCCGAAAGGTTGCGATATCCATAATACCGAGCCTAAGGGTTAACAACTCATGGCTTCTGGATACTAAAACAAAACAAACAAACATTACATGCTTGTTCAGGAGGCAGTGGGTTTATCCCCCCCCCCCCATGGGGTCCTGGAACCCACACACAGAGATTTATAATGAAATTAACCCATGTTTGTCGATGCCCAGATACCAGATGTGGGTATTGCCGTTCCTCGTACTCTCGGCTGTCATTGTGGTACTCATGCTGGTGGTTTCTTGTGTCCTAAGTGTCGGCATTAAGGAGACATGCGATGGGTTTTTGGCAGGCAAAGACAAAGGCGCGCACATACAAGAGTGAGTGTTGTGTTATGTAATTTTTTTTTAAATTCATATTATTAAATTTATTCTTGTAGAATACATATATATGGTACGAAGTTCACAGTCTAAGACTCGAACTTCCGAGAGATGTACAATCAGACAGTTACTGGTACCATTTAATGGTGCTGGCTTGTATTATAACTGGCTTGTGTTATAGCTGGCTTGTGTTATAGCTGGCTTGTGTTATAGCTGGTTTGTGTTATAGCTGGCTTGTGTTATAGCTGGTTTGTGTTATAGCTGGCTTGTATTATAGCTGGTTTGTGTTATAGCTGGCTTGTGTTATAGCTGGTTTGTGTTATAGCTGGCTTGTATTATAGCTGGTTTGTGTTATAGCTGGCTTGTGTTATAGCTGGCTTGTATTATAGCTGGCTTGTATTATAGCTGGCGTGTGTTATAGCTGGTTTGTGTTATAGCTGGCTTGTATTATAGCTGGTTTGTGTTATAGCTGGCTTGTGTTATAGCTGGCTTGTATTATAGCTGGCTTGTATTATAGCTGGCTTGTATTATAGCTGGCGTATGTTATAGCTGGTTTGTGTTATAGCTGGCTTGTATTATAGCTGGTTTGTGTTATAGCTGGCTTGTGTTATAGCTGGCTTGTATTATAGCTGGCTTGTATTATAGCTGGCGTGTGTTATAGCTGGTTTGTGTTATAGCTGGCTTGTGTTATAGCTGGCTTGTATTATAGCTGGTTTGTGTTATAGCTGACTTGTGTTATAGCTGGCTTGTATTATAGCTGGCTTGTATTATAGCTGGCTTGTGTTATAGCTGGCTTGTGTTATAGCTGGCTTGTGTTATAGCTGGCTTGTGTTATAGCTGGATTGTGTTATAGCTGGCTTGTGTTATAGCTGGCTTGTGTTATAGCTGGCTTGTGTTATAGCTGGATTGTGTTATAGCTGGCTTGTGTTATAGCTGGCTTGTGTTATAGCTGGATTGTGTTATAGCTGGCTTGTGTTATAGCTGGCTTGTGTTATAGCTGGCTTGTATTATAGCTGGCTTGTATTATAGCTGGCTTGTGTTATAGCTGGCTTGTATTATAGCTGGCTTGTGTTATAGCTGGATTGTGTTATAGCTGGCTTGTATTATAGCTGGCTTGTGTTATAGCTGGATTGTGTTATAGCTGGCTTGTGTTATAGCTGGCTTGTGTTATAGCTGGCTTGTATTATAGCTGGCTTGTATTATAGCTGGCTTGTGTTATAGCTGGCTTGTGTTATAGCTGGCTTGTGTTATAGCTGGCTTGTATTATAGCTGGCTTGTGTTATAGCTGGCTTGTGTTATAGCTGGCTTGTATTATAGCTGGCTTGTGTTATAGCTGGATTGTGTTATAGCTGGCTTGTGTTATAGCTGGCTTGTGTTATAGCTGGCTTGTATTATAGCTGGCTTGTATTATAGCTGGCTTGTGTTATAGCTGGATTGTGTTATAGCTGGCTTGTGTTATAGCTGGCTTGTGTTATAGCTGGCTTGTATTATAGCTGGCTTGTGTTATAGCTGGCTTGTGTTATAGCTGGCTTGTAGTACTGCTGTTACTTGCTCTTCTTCTACTGTCTAGGACTGATAACACAAATGCCGCTTAGCTTCCTTGTACATGCTGTCAGTTTATTCTGTTGCATTTATTCAACATGCTCCAACAATTATTCACACTTCCATCGCTTCTGACCTATTATAACACTGGTCAGTCATACGACATTAGAACTATTTCCTCTATTAACATAACTGTTTTCTACCACTTCTGGTAAGCAACTGACCACGAGTCTAGCTCGGGCTTTCCCTCGGTTACTCGACCAGTCACAAGTATCTCGTGCCGTCGCTTGTCGCATGAAATTTCTGCTTGGCACCATGTACTCCTGGAGACCATGCAAAGCACCTCATCACAACCATCAGAACTGGAAGTCTTCGCTTGCTGCTGAAGATGAGGACGGAGCTATCATGTCGATTTTTAATTCGACGTTCAACTTCCTAGAGATTAAAATATTGAACTTTCTTAATAGCACCACTCACGTCAGATAATTTAGTTATTACACTGAAAACCTAAAACTCTGCAAACAAATGATTGACATATGATTGACTTTACTGTTTGAAATTCCATTTGCTTAATTTTCTTGAAAGACAATAATGGAATGAAGTTAACTTATAATTTATTAGCTTAAGTTTCAGATTTAAGTGCTTGAATATTTTGAATACAACACGATCTTTTGAACCCTAGAATTTATTAGGATTGTCTCCCGTGACGTAGTCGTGACGTCAGGGTTAAGTTATAAATTAAGTACCGATCTTTTGGCTGAAATATGGAATTCAGCAGTCTAACCTCCTTTTGTAAACCAAAACGATATGAAGCTATTTTGGAATCCAGCGATTTTTTTGTACTTTGTAAATCATCATAACGTGATTATATTTTTGAACAAATCATATTAATTGCCCTGTCTATATTATCTTTAGCTTTTGTCGAATTCAGCCGTTTAAACTTCATGCAATGCAAGGAACTAACAGATTGCATACAAATAAGCTAGATATATATAATGCATGTGCATGCAGAACTGGAGTTTTCTAATAAGACTAAAGTCCAGAAGTGGACGAATAACTAGAACTTTCCGCAAACGTTTACAGAATGTGAAGGCTAAGCAGGAGGAGAGGAAACTGAAAAAAAAAAGATATTGATATGATGATGATGAAGAAGAAGAAGAAGAAGAAGAAGAAGAAGAAGAAGAAGAAGAAGAAGAAGAAGAAGAAGAAGAAGAAGAAGAAAAAAAAAAAAGAAGAAGAAGAAGAAGAAGAAGAAGAAGAAGAAGAAGAAGAAGAAGAAGAAGAAGAAGAAGAAGAAGAAGAAGAAAGTAGGAGGAGAAAAAGTATTATTACTTATTAGTATTATTATTATTATTATTATTATTATTATTATTATTATTAACGTGCCTATAATGTTCTGTTTTGTCAATGAACCCTGTCACACATAGATGTTCCGAGATTCAGAACAGGATTTTTATCTACCCAGACGGTAGAAAGTCTCCGGACCTACTGAAACACTTTTACAACTATCCTAAAACCTCAGAAGTGAGTGTCGTGTCTTTACCCATACTATTATCTTAAAAGCGAGTGTCGTGTCTACTGTATTATTACATGTATCCCAAACAAACATCATGGAGGTGAGTGCCCCGTTTGTTCTTATATTTTGATCGGGAGGCAGAAATGCTACTGCTTTATTAATATCCTACCCCAAACAGGGGAAATCCACAGGTCACGGGACAGTCTAATATTTCAGGGGGTGGTAGATAGGCTGCATGCATTCGTGGGACCCAGCTGCCCTCTCTCGTGGGACGTAGGTGGGTTGGGGTTAGGGCCAGTTCTAGATGTTTTGGGGTCGTTAAAAGCATCAGAAAGCCGGGAAACCCGGTCTTTCCACTCTCTAAAATGTTGGACTGTCCTGTGACGTCATTTGGGGTAAAATATTGATAAAGAACCGAAATGCTGAACCACAACTGACGATTTACTCATATACGCCGGAACCGGGGCTAATGTATGATATTGGACAAGACATGCTTGAAACACGTTTCCAACCGCAGCTAAGCCAAATCAGACAGGATCGACATTTGCTTTGAAGTAGTACATCTGCCTGAGAGGCGACGACCAACAGTCTGCAGGCAGATAAGCCAGATCTGTAAAATGAATGTTAATACAGTACTTAAACTCTTGAACAAGGCTACAGTCCAAAAGTAGGCTCCAGAACTTTCCACAGGATTTACAGCCAATTACCATAAAACACGAATGAACGAACTTAATTTACAAAAAAAAAAAAAAAAAAAAATGCGCATACATGCCTATCTAACATTGTATCAGAAAGAAGAAGAAGAAGAAGAAGAAGAAGAAGAAGAAGAAGAAGAAGAAAGAGAAGAAGAAGAAGAAGAAGAAGAAGAAGAAGAAGAAGAAGAAGAAGAAGAAGAAGAAGAAGAAGAAGAAAGAAGAAGAAGAAGAAGAAGAGGTTATAGTAGTAGTAGTAGTAGTTAGTAGAAGAAGAAGTAGTAAAAGAAGAAGAGAAGAAGAAGAAGAAGAAGAAGAAGAAGAAGGAGAAGAAGAAGAAGAAGTAGAAGAAGAAGAAGAAGAAGAAGAAGAAGAAGAAGAAGAAGAAGAAGAAGAAGAAGAAGAAGAAGAAGAAGAAGAAGAAGAAGAAGAAGAAGAAGAAGAAGAAGAAGAAGAAGAAGAAGAAAAAGATACTTTGATTATAACATCTAAGAAGTGATGGGACAACTATTATTCCGGCATCTCGGAGGTAAGTGCTTTTTTTTATTCATACTTCATCAATAAAATCTCAGATTTGAGTGATTTTTGTTTATCCCGGAGCTTCTATGGCCAGTACCATATTCTTGCTCACATTTTTTACCCTCTTATCCCACATGTGAATGCCATATTTTTAACACTTACCCTTTCCTCAACATTTTTGCAGCAAGCTTTATTCAAAACAATTGGTGTTACCCTTTCTTTCTAGTAAACAAAGCAGGTCGAGGGTGGGACCTGCTGCGTTGGCAACACATGGTGTCGTATTGTCAAACACTATGCTACGGAGAGGCGTTAATTCATCCCTTGCCCTAAGTGACTGTCTTCTGTCATGCCTCTCTGTAACACATGACACAATCGTCTGAACAGATGGCAAGGTGCCAACAATATTACCCAACATCTAGGAAATGTTTTTACTCACACTTTATTTGAATTTTTCAGAAACGAATGCCCCATTTTAACCCATACCTGTACTTCAAAATCTCAAGAATAATTTTGTACCTATAATTTCATCCAAAAACCTTCTATTAGATACCAGTGTCATTTTGTAACCCACATTATTTAATCTGTGTCTTTGACACGCGCCGGGACCGTATAAGTAGCGATCAATACCCGGTAACACAAAGGGCCATCATTTGGATGAGAATCACACGGTCACAAGTCCGAGAAAACTCATTCAACCATCATCATCACCATCATCAGGTGCCTTGCCGACTGGCGTGGGCGATCATGCTTCTCCACAATCCACGATCTCCTGCAGCATGTATCAGTTTGTGTGCTGACACACCTCCCTGCCATGCAACAAGACTGTCAAGCATCTTCTCTCGTTGTCTTTCTCTATCCCTCCTTCCAGGTCTTTCCAGTGGTCACAACATGTTCTATTTCCCTCTTCTCATAACATGACCGAAAAATGATGACTGTCTCCTTCTGATGTCTGTGATAAGCAGCTGTCTTCGGGCTCCCGCCTCTTTCAAAACCTCTTGGTTGCTCTTTTTGGCTGTCCTAGGTATTCTTGTTCAACCGTTACGTTATATTAGAACCCCCGACTACAGCCGGGGTGGGGCTTTAAAATAACGAAAAACTGGGACGCGACTACAACGTATGGAACAAAACTTTTCACAGCAGTATCATAAATGTCCCTATGTGGGTTTGGTTTATTGGTATACACAGCTGATCAACATCATGGCACACGGGTGTAACCCATCAGTGCTCCGTTTTACGTCTAACTCAGAGTCTGAAACAGCTCAACGCAGTGCACGGACTCCGTTACATCGGCGAGGATCCTGAAATACTTGGGTAGATTTTTAACTCCAAATTTTGCCCGGGCAACGTCGTTAGGCTACTCTTTTCAATTTCAACTGCCAAAGGAATTTTTCACGTGCGCAACAATACACAGGGGCGTCAGATCTCACTACTTGGAGACCAGGGAAAATTACTGGAAGTCCTCGTAAAAAAATTCCAGGCTTCACCGGGGCCAGATTAAGATGGAGATACATGAATGCCTAGTATGTCTCATATCCGCCCCTGTGTCACCGGGGCCTGATAGAGATGGAGATACATGAATGCCTAGTATGTGTCATATCCGCCCCTGTGTCACCGTGGCCCTCACGGGAAGCAAAGAATAGTGACACTGCACCCTACCAGGCATGTCGTAAGAGGCGACTAAGGGTAGGGTTGAGCTTGAGGTCGGCTACCTCATCCTGTAAAAACCATAGCCACAAAAACCAACTAACCATGGATAAGTCACATGGAGAAGAGAGCTGGAGAATGAATTCAGGAAGATGGGGAGGACACGGAGAGAGCTCCATGCAATGGCGAAGGATAGAACGACTTGGCGTGAGTTGGTTGAGGGCCTATGCTCCATTGGGGGATAGAAAGGCGGAAGAGAGATGTATTGTTGTTCAATCTCAGGAGACTTAAAGCAAAAAGGAAAACTAAACCAGACACCATCACGGAGCTCCTGTTTGCCGACGACTGTGCCCTTCACAGAAGCGGATATGCAGCAACAACGATAAATTCAGTGATGCCTGTAAAACTTTGGGCTCACTATCAACAAAGATAAAACTGTAGCCATGCACAAGCCAGCCCCAGGGCAAAGATACATCGAGCCCGATATCACAGGGAGTGGCCACAGATTAAACGTTGTCAGTAAATTTACTTATCTAGGCAGCACCCTTTCACAGAGCGCCACAATTGATGACGAAGTAAATGCAAGGATCTCTAGGACTAGCGTTGCTTTTGGCAGATTGTACAAAAATATTTGGAACAGAAGTGGCATAACCCTGCAGACAAAGCTTAAAGTATACATAGCAGTTGTATTAACTACACTGCTGTACGCCTGCGAAACATGGACTGTATACCAGCGCCAGGCTAGAAAGTTAAACCACTTTCACACAGCCTGCCTTAGGAAACTAATGCAGATCCGATGGCAAGACAAAGTACCTGATACCGTAGTCCTTGAGAATGCAGCCATGCCCAGCATCCATATTCTACAGATGCAGTATCAAATTAGTTGGGCTGGTCAAGTGCCACGCATACCAGATCACAGGCCCCCTTCCCCCCCCCCCCCCCCAAAATAAAAATTCTTATGTGGTGAGCTGCAAAATGGGAAACGTTTCCAAGGCGGGCAAAAGAAACGCTTTAAGGACACCTTGAAGTCTTCACTCAAAGCATTTGGAATGAATGACACCAATTGGGAGGCTGCTTCTCAAATGAAATGCATGGCATGCAACTCTACACAAGGGCGCGGCTACATGTGAAACAAACAGAACAGCAAGACTTATTAATTTAAGAAAAGGATGGACTGAAAGGCGACTGCAGGAGATCCCCTCCCTGGCACAGCTCATTCCCTGTCCTCACTGTCCAATAACTTTTCGGGCCCGCATCGGCTTCATCAGTCATCTTCGTACTCATACTTGATGAAAAAGAGTGGTCATCATCATCTTGATGGACAACACACACACATACACACTGTTGTTCTCACACGTGTGGGTTCCATGGACCCATTGTAGGGAAAACAAGAATAGACCCACAGCCTCCCGAAAAGGCATGTTGTAAGAGTCGACTAATTGGAGCTTACCTTCGAAGTGCATCTGTCTGAAAGGCAAGAAACCAACAGTCGACATACAAATAGGTCAGATCTGTAAAACGGATGTGTACGCAACACTCAGGTTCTGGAACAAGTCTAAAGTCCAGAGCTGGATGAACAACCAGAACTTTTCCACCTGAGTTTACGGCCTGTGAACGCGTGAAGGAAACGAATAATAATAATAATAATAATAATAATAATAATAATAATAATAATAATAATAATAATATTAATACTAATAATAATACTAATAATAATAATAATAATAATAATAATAATAATAATAAGAAGAAGAAGAAGAAGAAGAAGAAGAAGAAGAAGAAGAAGAAGAAGAAGAAGAAGAAGAAGAAGAAGAAGAAGAAAAAGAAGAAGAAGAAGCACTGTTGTGTGGAGCGGAAACGTGGAGAACAACTAAGACATGTACTAATAAACTACAAACATTTATTTACTGGTTAATAAATGGAATTAAATGGAATGACAGAATCACTAATGTTGAGCTTTGGAGGGAAAAATAAATAAGTTAAAGTGGACCAAGGGTAAAGAAAAGCCGCTGGCTAGGACACGTTGAGAAAACCTGAGAACAATATAACTAGAATGTCCTTGCACTGGAACCCACAGGGGTATATAAATAAAGAAAGACTTAAAAAAAAAAAAAAAAACCAGAGAAGGGAACTAGAGAGGGAAATTAAAAAGA